AATGTCGTCCTTACTCTGTTCATTCGGTAGCAGCCTCGCCCGAGGTATTTAAAACTGTCCACTTCTTCACGTTCACTGCCGTTAATCCCTAGGGGCGCCATCTCCTGATCAGGGATGCAGTTCAAGAATAGTTTGGTCGTCCCGACATAGCGATCTTATTCACTTCAAGTTGACGGCCATTAATTTTACAGACTGTATATCACCTAAGGTTGACGCTAGTAGAGCGATATCATGGGCTTAGTTGAGATCAGTCAGCCGGCGTCCGGGTGCAAGCTCAACACCGTCCTCTTCACGTAGCGTCTTCCTAAAAATTCAGTCAATGACGCAGTTAAATGGAATGGGCGACAAGACACAGCCTTTTCGAACGCCACACCGAATAGCGAACGGCCCTGAGAGGTTGTTATGGCCGTCTACACTAGAATACGCTAAGTGAACCTTTTCTATGACTGACATTTAGATTGCGAAAATTAGACAAATGATGTTGGCGCTCCTGCGTGAGTTTTTTCTTATATTGGGTTCCTGGCGGATCCTTTTAAACCGCCAAATAGCAAACAAGAATCTACAGATCCACCTGGTGAGCTTGTGACAATGCTTATCAGTGCTCATTAGCTTCGTGCCATTTGATTGGTCCTAATTCATCCGCGCCTTCACTAACTTATTTCGACCTAAACACCCATCACAAATGGTACCACCAAAACGTTTTCACGCGCTTTTATAACTGCTTGGTCCTCAGCTGGTCTTCGATTACTCTCTCCTTCTTTGCGCAAATTTTGCCGGCTACCTACTCTGCGCTTCCTTTGCACGAGCGATTTATTTTGGTTTCAGGATCAGACTAATAAAACTACGATTCCGGTGATCGAAACTACTTCTTTTCGATGGATATTTTGATTTCAGTCCAGCTGGCGTTCAACGGTAAGGGCACCGGATTTTTGTGAAGTGCCTTCACGTTGTGGTAGCGTTCGCCGTTCTGAGCTGAATGTGGTCGTACCCCTTTGACTTCAGGCTTTGGTCTGTGCGGTGTCACGACATGAGTAGGTCCGGTCGCAACCTATAGAACACGATCTGATGGTTCAGCCGATAGGGCGTTAAGCTCTTCAAATATCATTTCCTCCTGTATGCATATAGCTGGTTGTTAATGGTAGATGAACACTAAATGGCAGATAACATTGCCGGAAAAGACGAAGGAGCCTGGAACGGCCATTATTTGCTTATTACCCTTTGCTAACCAGTCATACCGAACCCCAAGTGGTGCAAGTGGGGCTCGAACTCGCGAACTTTTTGTTCTAACCACCGAGTCACCGGTTTTTCGTCTTGCCGGTTTAGATCGGCAAGAATGAGCCCCAAGACAGAGCCGAACGAGTGAGTTCCGATAGCGACAGTTTCACCTTCATTAAGGAGAACACTAAATGGTCATTCCAGCCCTTTCAATC